GTATACAAATGGAACATTAGAAAACAGCCATAACTGAGCTCCCAAAGCCTAGTTGAAGAGTAAGAGGAGAGAGAATATGAGCAAAGAGGTCAAGACCATGATGGGGACACCCACTGAAACATTTTACCTGATCTAACAGGAACTTACCAACTCTAGCCAGACAGAGAAGAAACCATCATAGGACCAAATTAGACCCTCTGAATGTGGGTGGCAGTTGTATGGCTGGGAAAGACTGCAGAGCCACTGGCAGTGGCAACAGGATTTATCCCTACTGCTTGTACTGGCTTTTTGGAACAAATTCACTTTGGATACATACCATGCTCAGCCTACATATAGTAGGGAATGCTTTGGTCATTCCTCAAAGAAATGTGCCTTACCCTCTCTGAGGAGTGGATGGGGCATGGGGTGTGGAGAATGTGGAGGGAATGAGAGAAGGGGAGGGAGTGAGAACTGGGATTAGTACATAAAATGAAAAAAGTTTGTTTTCTTTTTTAAAAAAGTAAAATGGGAGCAAGAGGACCATGGGGGAGGAATAAAGGGGAAGGGAGAGGCAGGGAGAACAGAGAAAAAATGTAAGCTCAATAAAAATCAATAAAAAATAATAAAACATAAAAAAGAAGTAACCATGAAATCTATGCTGTGATCTATAGAAATACAAACATATGTGAATGAGTATTTGCCTTGGGTTTTTAACATGGATCAATGGAAAATATTAAGAAAATTAGGCAAAACTCTATACTTGAACTTCCTACATAGGGGATTCTTCAGAACAAAAAAGTAAGGAGTCTATCATAACAAGAATTATAAGACAACTGAAATATAGATCTGCTGGGATCAGTGTGAGACCCTTGGAAGCAGAAAAATTGAGGAATGCAACCTACCCCCTCTCTTCTAGAAAATGGGTACACATATGAGATAAATAAGTTCCTGATTGACTGGATTTTATGAGATACTAATGACATGTTATTTCTGGCTGATATATCAGTGAATATAAAGAATTGAGAGATCTCCAAAGATGGTCAAGAATGATTAGGGAGCTGGATATATGACAGGAAGCTTTTATTCACTGAGTAGAATAAGACTGTGTTCACTACTAAGGGAGAAAACAAATTATATGACCTCAGCACTAATATTAGATTTTACATCTTTGTTGAAGAGGCATGATCAGGCAAGAAAGGCTGTACAATTTGAGTAATACAGATTGATATACACAGGATAAAAATAAATATTTTGAAAATTATATTTGCCAATATATGTACAAGTCCTAACAAAATAAAATAAAGTGAATAAAGCCAGTAAAGATATTTAAAATATTAGATTTCAGTAGATTTACTACACTGCACCTTTGTGTGTAGAATCCTATGGTTGTGATGACAAACACTGAATAATTGATTTGGTAGAGTATTCTCTCAAATCTGAGCACAGGAGTGGCTATGGTGGACAGTGGTCATTGTTTCATTATCTCAACACCCTGAATGTAGTGAGATATCAAGCAATCATAAAAATATAATGCTAAGTTTTTAAAATAGATATCATATAAATATAATGCTAAGTTTTTAAAATAGAAATAAATGTTTAGTCTCAGTAAATCGGAGGTAGTAGGTTAGGAAACACAGTATTTTAAACTCTGGGCAATGGGTGCTGTAAATAATTAATTAACAAGTATAGTTAAATTATTTGGATGTCACCTCAACGAGAGCTCAATTCTCAAACACATGATACACATATTTCTTGGTCATTGTCATTCAATGAGTCTCAATGGTGACAGCAGCTCTTAGGATGAAGCATCTTGCCAATAATTGGAATTCTTTCCATTCTCACAGATGTGGTTTGATAGGTTCACTGGCTGTACATTTTGAACTTTTTTAATTAAATGATTCACCGTATCCTTCATGATGACTTGATCTTTTTGGAGTATTATTAAAGGTTAACTTACTATGGTTTCATGCCCAAAGTGAACATTAAATTGGAAACAGAATAAACCCACGAGTCTGGGAAGACGTAGGATGTGCATATGTTTCTGGTTTAAAAGAAATATTCCTACGTGATACTGCATTTCTCATGTGATTATAGAGGCAGTGGTAACTTTGTATTGAATAAACAGTGGTTAAAAAAAAAGCTCTTCCTCTTGAAATAGGAAAAGTAACATGAAATGGAAAGTAGAGTATAACTATTGGGCAGTGACAAGCAGAACCTTAAGTGTCCTGAATTGCTTTTACTATAATGATATGGAGAATCAGATAGCATGCCTTCCCTCACTGTTTATCAATGTTGCTAATAGAAAACAGGGCCTTGTGCAGGTCTGGGATGTACCTCTCAGTTACTTTATATCTACACTAGTACTATATTCCACTGGACAATTTTTAATGTTTCACATTATTCTGATTGCTCACTATAGTCTTACACATCTATTTAAATGCAGCATGAATGTAATTATAATAGATAAATCACTATAAGAATTATCAAATACATCTGGGGGTAAAATTGTTAAATTCTAACTTTATTCCATAGACACAGGTGGTTACAAAAATTTTTTTGTATCTGTGGAAGTTTGCTTTGTTACCAAGTATATGATCAATTTTCGAGAAGGTTCCATGAGATGCTGAGTAGAATATTCTTTCCTTTTGGGGTAGAATGTTCTATAGATGTCTGCTTAGTCCATTTAATTCATTACCTCCATTACTTCTCTTATTTCTCTGTTAGGTTTCTGTCTGGTTGACATGTCCATTGGTGAAAAAGGAGTGTTGAAGTCTCCTACTATTAGTGTGTGGGGTTTGATGTGTGCTTTGAGTTCAAGTAATATTTCTTTTACATATGTGGATGCTTTTATATTAGGGGCATAGATATACAGGATTGAGACTTTATCCTGATGAATTGTTCCTGTTGTGAGTATAAAGTGTCCATCTCCATCTCTTCTGATTGATTTTAGTTTGAAGTCAATTTTGTTAGATATTAGTATAGCCACACCCGCTTGTTTCTTAGGTCCATTTGATTGAAAAACCTTTTCCCAACCCTTTACTCTGAGTAAATGTCTGTCCTTGTGGTTGAGGTGTATTTCCTGTAAGCAGCAGAATGTTGAATCCTGATTTCGCATCCATTCTCTTAATCTGTGCCTTTTTATGGGTGAATTGAGATCATTGATATAAGTAATATTAATGACCAGTGGTTGTTAGCTCCAGTTATTTTTTTTTTGATTGTAGAGTTTGTGTATTTCCCTTCTTTGGGTTGTGTTTGGGGAGGGTTGTTAGATCTCTAAGTTATTGTGGATGTTGTTGGGATCTTTGTGTTGTTATTTTGCTTCTATCACTTTCTGTAATGCTGAGTGTGTGGGTACGTATTGTTTAAATTTGTTTTTATCCTGGAATACCTTGTTTTCTCCCATGATGGTGAAAGAAAGCTTGGCTGAGTATAGAAGCTTGGGCTTGCATCCATGGTCTCTTAGTTTCTATAGCACATCTATCCAAGACCTTCTGGCTTTCATGGTTTCCATTGAGAATTCAGGTGTAATTCTGATAGGTTTACCTTTATATGTTACTTGACCTTTTTCCTTTGTAGCTCTTAATATTCTTTCTTTATTCTGTATGTTTTTTGTTTTGATTATTATATGGCCAGGAGATTTTTTTTGATCCAGTCTATTCGGTGTTCTGTATGCTTCTTGTACCTTCATAGGAATATCCTACTTTAGGTTGGGAAAGTTTTCTTCTATAATTTTGTTGAATATATTTTTGGGACTTTGAGCTGTAATTCTTCCCCTTCATCTACCCCTATTATTCTTAGGTTTGGTCTCTTCATGATGTCCCAGATTTCCTTGATATTTTGTGTTAATAATTTGTTGGATTTGCTGTTTTCTTTGATCAATGAGTTTGTTTCCTCTATAGTATTTTCAGTGTCTGAGATTCTTTCTTCTATCTCCTGTATTCTGTTGGTTATACTTGTCTCTGTATTCCTTGCTCATTTACTCAGATTTTCCATATCCAACTGTCCCTTGGTTTGTGTTTTATTCATTACCTCCATTTCAGTTTTCAAGTCTTGAACTGTTTCCATTACCTGCTTGATTGCTTTTTCTTGGTTTCCTAGGATATCTTTGAGGGATTTATTCATTTCTTCAAATGCTTTGTTATTCTTCTCATCCATTTCTTTAAGGGATTTTTCCATTTCCTGTTTAAGGGACTCATAATTAAGGGACTTTCATAATGTTACATTTAAAGTCTATTTCTTCTACATCTTCTGAATTAGGGTGTTCAAGTCTTCCTGTTATATGTTCACTGGATTCTGGTGTTATCATGCTGTTTTTCATATTGTTGGAGGAATTCTTTTTTTTTCTTTGTTTATATATTTATATTGACATATAATTTGGCTTGCACGTATTAATGATCTTCTCTTTTATTTAACATATTGTAGAATTCCATTATCCTTTTTAGAGATAAGATCCATTTATATATTCCAGGGTGGCTTCCTATTCATACTCCTCCACCTCAACATCTTGAATATGGGATATTGGAGCAGCCTGCCTACAGGAGGCTTGCCCACTGTCCTGCTTGTACAGCTAAGGTGGATGGTATAGTGTTCTGGGATTTTGCCCTAGGCGCTATATTTTAAAGTCTGGACTGTCCAGTAGGGGACTGGTCACTAACCTTTTGGTCCACTTTTTGCATCAACTAAGAAGCTTTAATCACACTCATTTTCTTATTTTGGGTGTGAACTATAATATTTACCTAAAAACTTAAACCTATTGACCATACATTTCATGGGAATTTCCAAAGTGAAATATCATTTAGAACCTAATAGTTATAGCAAATACCAACAGTGTAAGTTTTGCAAAATTCTCCATGTATGTACAATTTTATTGTGTGTATTTGATTAATTGTGCATGGGCTATTCCTGAGCACATATGTATGGTATACAGGTTGATGCTCCCAAAACTATAACTGGCTTGTAATTTCAAATTTCTTCGGTGACTAAAATAAATTAATTTTGGCTGTTGTGGTGGTTCCTCATAGGTGCATGTTTGAATGTCTGGACTATAAGAGAAAGACCATTAGGAGGTGTATCATTGTTGGAGCAGTTGTGGACTTGTTGGAGGAAGAGTGTCATTGTGGAGGTGGACTTTGAGGACTCATATGCTCAAGCTATGCCAGTGTGGATAGGACTCAGTTCACTTTTTATTGCCTGCTGATCAACGGATAGAACCCTCAGCTGCTTCACTAGCTCTATATTTGCCTGGTCTCTGCCATTGTCCCCAACAAGAAGATAATAGAATGAACCTCAGAAACTGTAAATCAGCCTCAAGTAAATGTTTTCTGTATAAGAGTTCACATGGTCATGATATCTCATTACAGCAGTAGGAACACTGATTAAGAAAGTGCTTTTAGGGAAAGGTGTATTACTCTATTAAGCCCCACTGTGTTTTTGTTTAGAGGAATATGTAATTTGGGTCTATGGATTAGAAAAGCACTTGAATGCTTACAGTGGGACTTAATGGTCCGTCCTAGTGGGATCATGGAAGATAGCAGTAACAAGGATGACTTGAAAAGTTGGGGCCTGTATCAAGAGAAGAAGAATGCTAGCATGTGTCTTGGAAATTGGTCTTGTGATATTTTTAATAATGTGGTTTATTTTTGCCCTTTTAAAAATGTTTGCCTGAGAGTATAGTGAAGAGTTTTTCGTTAATTCCATCGGTAGAGGAAATTTCAAAACTGCCTATTATTGACCTGCTGTAGCTGTTTGGCATTCACACCTTGGCAAATTCATAATGAAAAGGAGAAAACTGAGCAAGGGAAACTAGAAAGTTGTACAATTTAAGGAGAAAAGGATTACAAGAAATAGAAATGGTGTTAATTCCTGTATTCAAGGATATAAGCAGATTAAAGATGGAATAATGGAATTAATGACCTCAAAACAAGATTCCACCCAGGTAAGTTTCCAACTCTTAAAAATGAATTTTAAAAAGACTTAAGAGCCAGATGAGGTGGTGCATATTTTTAATCACAGCACTCAAAAAGTAGAGGCTGGCAAGTCTTGGAGTTTGAGTCCAGGCTGGTCTACAGAGTAAATTCCAGGTAATCCAAACTACAGCAGTGAAGAAAACATAGTAAAACAGAAAGCAGGGGAATACGTTTTTGAAAAAGAGGACATATGTTCCAGCCCCAGCAAGAAGCAGAACTTGGGAGCTTTGATCATGTGTTTCTGTCTTTAGAATCAAGGAAAGAAGAAAGGGATCATGGAATCCCTCCCTGTGACTAAGGAAAGCCACTGAAGCCAGGCATGTTACAAGGATGTCCCTGCTTGGAGGCCCAGAGAGGCCATTGGGTGAAGCTAAGAAGATAAAGCCTGAATTGTTTTGAGACCTGAAAATGTTGGCAATGCCAGAGCTTGCTATACCTGCTAAGGAGAGCTGCTAATAGGGAGTGGAATCGGTCCAAAAGAGAGAAGTGAGGTACAGGCAACAAAACTGAAAATAGTTAGAGATCTGAAGAGCATTTTGACATGGAGATGCAGAGTTTGCTTAAATGGTTTTTGATCCTGATTTGGTCCAATATTTTCTCACTATTCTCCCTTCCTTCCATTCTGGAACAAGAAATTTTATGCTGTGCCATTAATTGTTGGAAGTATGTGATCTGTTTTCTGACTTTCATTTTATAGGGGATTACAGTTAAGAGATTATATGAATCTCAGAAGAGACTTTAAAGTTTGGACTTCAAAATGTTGTTGAGGCTATGTTAGACAATGGAAATTCTTGAAGTATGACTGAATGTATTTTGGATTATGTTACCATTAGAAGTCAAACTACACTGGGATCAGAAGTCAGAAGCAAATACAGTCCCAGAACCCAACCCAGTCCTGGGACACTGGTAGACCAGGATTGAGCCAGTGAGCAGATCCAGAGTCAGCAAACTCCACAGAAGAGGTACAGGGGAGTAACTGCTGAGCGAATGAGCCAGAGCCAGAGACCTCTGAGAGTCCGAATGTGAATCTGGGACCTTTAAGGGAGTAGACCTAAGACAGGACCCCACTGGTGCTGGGCGAGAGTCTAGGACCTCCCAGGAACAAGGTCTAATCCAGGACTTCTGGCAGTACGGACATGAGTGAACCTGGGACCTCTGAGGGAAAAGGCAGGAACCAGAGATCTTGGTGAGGCCAGGCATGAGTCTGGCTTCTCAGAGGGAGTAGGCCTAAGCCAGGACCTCTGTGAATCCTGACATTTGTCTGGGATATCAAAGGGAATAGACAGAAACCTGGAATCTCTGTGGGTCTAAGCATGAGTCTGGGACCTCTGAGGGAGTAAGCAGGTCCTCTGTGATTCCAGGCATGCCAGAGGCTCTGAACTCTGAGGCTGTAGACCTTTCCAGAAACCGTTCCAGGTCAAACTCCAACCCAGGGACTTCTGCAGGAGTGGTTCCAGATCAGGATTTACAGAAACAGGACAAAGCCAGCAACCTAGGCCAAACAGCCCGAGAAAGCAAACTCCAAGAGTACAGGGCAAAGCTCAGGAGCACTGCGCTATCTCCAGGAACACAGAGTAACCGACAGGGTAACTAGAATTGTGACACTGACTGTACCACAAGGAACAGCCATCTGAGCTTTGGATTCACTGACACCTAGAAGACTATTCAACAGAAACTCAGACAGACCCGACCACACCTATTAGAGGAAAAGATGAGTAGAAAAGGTAAGATCACATGCTACACCACAAAGAAAAACACAATATTAGTAAAACCTAAAGAACCTACAACAGAAAGACATGAACAACCAAATATGGATGAAGCAGAAAGTATGACCTAAAAAATAACTTCAAAAGAATGTTTGAAACTCTAAAAGAGGAAATGAGAAATTCCCTTAAAAGATGGAGGAAAAGACCAACAAAAAAAATGGAAGATATCAGCAAATCACTTAAAGAAAACCACAAAAAAGAAATCAAACATATGAAAGAAATTATTCAGATAACATGAAAAGGCCAAATCTAAGAATAATAGGTATAGAAGAAGGAGAAGAGGTTCAACTCAAAAACCATAAAATATAAAAAAGAAAACTCCATCTCAAGGAAGTTGACTACACCAATAAAAACACAGACAATTGATGGTCTCATAGCAGTAAATCCCAAAGACGGCGAAAAGGCACAAATTAACATCACCAACAATGAAAACTAAATTAACAGGAGATAGCAATCACTGGTCATTAATGTCCCTTAATGTAAATGGTCTCAACTCACCTATAAAAAGGCACAGGCTAACAGATTAGATAAGAAAACAGAATCCATCCTTCTTCTGAATACAAGAAACACATCTCAACCTCAAAGACAGACATTGTCTCAGAGTAAAAGTTTGGGAAAAAATATACCAATCAAATGGGCCTAAGAAACAAGTGGGTGTAGAAATCCTAATATCTAACAAAATAGACTTCAAGCTAATATCAGTAAAAAGATAGAACAAAAGTCATTTCATATTACTCACAAGAAAAAAAATCATCAAGAAGAAATCTCAATACTGAACATTCATCCCCAAAATACAAGGGCAACCTCATATGTAAAAGAAACACTTCTAAAGATTAAGTCATACATTAAACCACACACACTAATAGTGGGAGACTTCAACACTCCCCTCTCACCACTGGACACAGCAGTCAGACAAAAAAAAATGAACAGAGAAATAAGAGAACTAACAGATGTTATGACTCAAATGAACTTAACAGACACCTATAGAATATTCCATCTAAACAGAAAAGAATATACCTTCTTCTAAGCACTTCATGAAATCTTCTCAAAAGTTGAACACATACTCAGTACAAAAACAAACCTCAACAAATACAAAAAAAATGGAATAACCCAATGTATGCTATCAGATCACCAAGGTATAAAACTAGAAGTCAACAGCAATACTAATTCCAGAAAACCCACAAACACATGAAAATTCAACAATGCTCACCTGAATCATCAATGGGTCAAGGAAGAAATAAAGAGAGAAATTAAAAAATTCATAAAATTCAATGAAACTGACCACACAACATACCCAAATTTATGGGACACAATGAAAGCAGTGTTAAGAGGAAAGTTCATAGCACTAAATGCCTACATAAAGAAGCTGGAAAAATCCCACACTAGTGAATTAACAGAACATTTGAAAACTTTAGAACAAAAAGACATAAACTCACATAACAGAACTATATGGCAGGAAATAATCAAATTGAGAGCTGAAATCAACAAAATAGAAACAAAGAAAACAACACAAAGAGTTGGCTCTTCGAGAAAATCAACAAAATACACAATCCTTAATCCAAACTAACCAAAAGGCAGAGAGAGAATATCCAAATTAATAAAACCAGAAATGAAAAGGAAGACATAACAACAGGCACAGAGGAAATACAGAGAATTATCAGGTCATATATTGAAAACCTGCATGCCACAAAATTGGAAAACTTAAAAAAAAATGGACAACTTTCTGAATATATATCACTTACCAAAATTAAATCAAGACCAGATAAGCAAATTAAACAGACATATAACTGCTAAAGAAATAGAAACAGTCATCAAAAGTTTCCCAATGGAAAAAAAAAGCCCAGGACCAGATGGTTTCAGCACAGAATTCTACAAGACTTTCAAAGAAGAACTAATACCAATACTGCTCAAATTATTCCACACAATAGAAACAAAAGGAACTCTTTTTATGAGGCTACAATTACCCTGATACCCAAACCACAGAAAGTCATTATTGAGAAGGAGAATTACAGACCAATCTCACTCATGAAAATTGATGCAATACTAAATGAAATACTGCAAAATCGAATCCAAGGACACATCAGAACTATCATCCACCATTATCTAGTTGGCTTTATCCCAGAGATGTAGGGATGATACGAAAATCAGTCAACATAATCTACAATATAAACAAGCTAAAAAATAAAAACTACATGATCATGTCATTAGGTGCCAAAAAAGCTTTAGACAAAATACAACATCCTTTCAGGAAAAGTCTTGAAGAGAGCAGGAATACAAGAAACATACCTAAACATTATAAAGGCAATATACAGGAAGCCAACAGCTAACATCAAACTAAATGGAGATAAACTCCCAGTGATTCCATTGAAATCATGAACAAGACAAGGTTGTCCACT